CACTAATGTTGTTAAACAATCTTGGCTTAACATGGATTTTAACCTGCTTGAAGCCATCAATAATTTCACCCATTCTGTTAAAATCTGGAACAAGGAGGTTTTTGGTAATATTTTTAAAAGAAAGAAAAGTCTTCTTACACGGATTGAGGGCATTCAAAAATCCCAAAATAATCATTTTTCTCATAATCTTCAGATTCTTGAAAAGGACCTTATTAAGCAGTTTAATACGACCTTGTTCCAAGAAGAACTTTTGTGGTACGAAAAATCCCGTACAAATTGGCTTACTATGGGAGATAGCAATACCAGATTCTTTCATATCTCTACCCTTAATAAAAGGAGAAAGCTTAAAGTCCAGGTTCTTAAAGATGATACTGGGAATTGGATCTCCAATTGCCATGAACTAAAAGCTCATATTCTGGACCACTTTACAAAGCTCTTTCAGTTTGAGGATACTCATTTCTTATCTAATTGGGTTAACATTGCCAAAACTGGTTTCACTAGAGAAGATAATGACCTTCTCCAAACCCCTGTGAGCAATTCTGAAATTTGGAAAGCCATTCGCAGCATTAAAGCCTATAAAGCCCCTGGGAAGGATGGCCTCCAAGCGGTTTTTTACCATACCCAATGGACCACTATTGGCCCTTCTGTCTGTAATTTTATCAAAGATTGCTTCCATAATCATTCTGTTCCTCCTGAGATTAATGAATCTCTGATTGTTCTCATCCCTAAGATTCAAAACCCTGAGTCTTTGAAACAATTTAGACCTATAAGTCTGTGCAATGTTTCTTACAAAACTATCACCAAAATTATAGTCAACAGACTTAGGCCCTTTCTCTCTAACCTCATTAGTCCAAACCAAAGCAGCTTTATCCCTGGTCGCACTACCACTGATAACATCATCATCACTCAAGAGATCCTGCACACACTTCGAGGCAAAAAAGGTAAAATTGGGGGAATGGTTCTTAAAATCGATCTTGAGAAGGCCTATGATCGCTTATCGTGGGATTTTATCCTCCATTCCCTCAAAGAGCTGAACCTCAATCCTGATTGGATCACTCTTATCATGAATTGTGTGTCTAATGTCAATTCTGCTATTATTTGGAATGGTGAGACTCTCCCTAACATATCTATGGGTAGAGGTTTACGTCAAGGTGACCCTCTTTCCCCCTATTTGTTTGTCCTTTGCATGGAAAACCTTTCTAATATGATCAGAGCAAAGACGGATAATGGAGAATGGAAGGGTCTTAAGGCCTCCAAGGATAGCCCTCCCATTTCCCATTTGTTCTTCGCTGATGATCTCATCCTTTTTGCTAGAGCTACTAGGAGAAATTGTGCTTGCATTATGGATGTATTATCTGAATTCTGTGTTATGTCTGGGCAAAAAATTAATTTTCAAAAATCAAAAATGTTCATCTCCTCTAATGTCCCTAGAAGAGAAGCCATTTCTTTAAGTTACTTCTGTGGTATCTCTCTCACTGACAATCTGGGCAATTACTTGGGCACCCCTATGCTCCACAGTAGAGTTTCTAAAAACCAGTTTCAAGTTATCCTTGACAAAATGGCTCAAAGACTTTCTGGTTGGAAAGCCAAAAACCTATCCCTCGCGGGTAGAACAACCCTGATAAAGGCGGTTACTTCGGCTATGCCTAATCATCTTATGCAGACTATGGAACTCCCTCGCCACACCTGTGACCAAATTGAGAAACTCGTTTTGATGAGAATTAATATCAACCCTTGGATGAACCACTTTAGGAGATCATTGTAGGATTTATACTTCAGAGGATCCTGACGCATCGTTTATCTCTTCTTGTTCCTACTTAATTAGGTGACAATTGAATGAGATGAGGGTGTCTTGAGTATTTCTCCTCTCTTTGGTTTTGTGAAATAATCGAAATGAACAGTTTTTTATCATAAAATATTTTTTTTCCCTATGATACATATTAAATTATATATATAATATATGTAAATAATTGGTTTCATATCAAAACTGGAACAAAATTATAAAATGAGGGACTGAACAATTTATTTACATTAAAATTTAAGATTTATGCATTAGAAAAATCAAGCCAAATCATTTGATTTGATACGATTCATACAGTTTCATACAGGTTTACAATTTTTTTGAATTTTTTTTTTCCCTCAGAATTTGGCCTATCCGTATGATCTCTTAATTTTTTTTTTAATGAAAAAAACCCTTCCGGGAGGACATCATAACATTTGTAAGCTCTCATCTCGAAATAGTAAATTGATGGTCAGGTTTAGTCTAACTCATAAGAAGGAACCTATCACCAGGACAATAATAAACCTCACTTACACTCCACAATAGGAGACAGAGTCTAACGACAGAAATACAAAACACACCTTCCAAATGTCAAACCCTACATTTCTATGTAGAAAACAGATGTGTCATGCATGATACCTCCACCCTGTGGTGATCCCTCTTAATTGGGTCCCATTGTTTTGAGTCAATCAGTCAGTCTAGCTTACCAAAAAGTGTAATATTGTTCCGTTTGTTTTCAAAAGTAGGATAGAGGAGATTGTTAGTGAGAGGACTGCTAGTAAGGGAATTAAGAAAAATTGTGTTTGTTTAATAATCAATGGACTAGTAATAGTTCATGTTTATTTTGAGAGATAGGGATGGGATTAAGCATGTGAAATTTCACAAATACCCTTTGCATTATCATCAAATTTGGACTTATACGAACTAAAGAATAAATAAATTTTTACTCATCAATATTATTCTTCTACTTTTTTTTATTTTTTTTAAAAATATTAAAGAATCTAACTATCAAAAAAAAATTTGTCAATGTTATTCTTTTCTTTTTTTTAATATTATTGAATGCAACTACCAATAAATTTTTATTCAATGTTATTCTCTCTTATTTTATTTTATTTTTTGTAAATATTAAAGAATCCAACTATCAATAAAATTTTATTCAATTATTTGTGTTTAATATTACATGAGCCATGTTATTCAATGTCACTGCTTGTGCAGAATGTATATCTTGCCAAATTTGTTTTTGCAAGTCCAATGCATCAAAACCAAAATAGTATTCATCTGATATCTTTAGACTAATTTTAAATCTTGAATGTGATGACTTTGACATTATGAAATAAAAAAATCGATAAACCAACTATTGCACAGTGAAGCTTGAGTACACCATGGTGACCTCCGTAGCTTCAGTTAATGGATGAGTTTAGAAAATCTTAATAAACCTATTGAAGCCTTCACGTCTCTATATCTTGCCACATTTAGGGGTTGTTTGGGATGACCTAAATAAGTATACTTTTTATCTTTTTATAAAAAGATGTGCAAAAAAGTAGAGAGATGATGTGATGAAAAAAAGATAAAAAGATAAAAAGATAGATTATTTTAGTGTTGCCAAACTTGGCCTTAGATTCATTTCACCTCTCTATATCTTTCTGCATTCCATCAATGTAGAGCTGTAATATGAATTACACTTTTCACTTTACCAAGCTAGACAAAATTAATGACAAAGATCTATAATATAAAAACAATCCTCAGATTGGCAGAACATAAAATGACACTAAGTCAGTGTTTGGATAATCAATTTGGGTAAGAATTTGGAAAATAAAAGGAAAAGATGAGGGAAATCTGATAAGTGATCCATGCTAAATCAATAAATACAAAAAATAGGAAGTGCTGGATACTTACCACAGAGTTTCTACTGCCTTCCTTGGTTGCCCAAGAAAATAAATAAATAATAAAAATAATTTGAAGGAATTGCAATTTGAAACTAGTGATATCTGATCCATGCACAATCTCTATGCAACTAAGTCTAGTACATCAATCAGGCAAATTTGAGTTTATTATTGTTCTTTTAATTTTTGAAAACCAAATTACTTTAGAAGATGAGATTAATAATTTAATTTGTTAAGTCTTCATCAACCAAACGGATCATAGACGATCAGAGCCTGCAGAAGACAACCCTGCTGCGAAAAGAAAGAAAAGAGAACAACTGAAGAACCAGACCACTTTTCAATATAATGATGAGAGAGAGAGAGAGAGAGAGAGAGAGAGAGAGAATATATATTTCATATTACAAAAGTCTGCCCCAAAAACTTTCAAATTTCAATATATTGGATGGAAGAGAACACATAGAGCCAATTTGAAGAAACTATGGACCTGTGATTCTCATTCGGTCAATCGACCATAAATTATGGGTCTATCAATGCAAACTGTATCAAGAGACTAACTATGGTGGCAAAAATCTAATCCTAATCCTGTCATTTTTTTAACTTGTTTGTTTCTCAAATTCAGTTCTAAAATTAGAAATCATGTCACCAAACCAAAATACCCAACTTGAAACTAAAAATCCCCAATCTAAGTATGAATCACAATTCCTTTCATGCATCTAATTCATCAAAATCGCAACAACCCGAACACAGTACCAGCAAATGAATCCCAAAATGCCAAGGAAAATTGAAAGCAAAGGGACCCAAGTTCACATTTGTAGTCATCAAGTTAATTTGCATTTCATCAACAACAATTGAAAGTACAAGAAAATAGAAGGGCATAAGAAACATAACCCAACTAAAAGTCAATATATATATATATATATCTCAAGCATCTATGTCACAATCACCATTTGTATTTATCTGCCAAGAGAGAGAGAGAGAGAGAGATAGAGAACTGACCACCAAAAAAGGCAAAGTAGGCAATCTGTGAGTGACAATGAGCCAAACAAGACCATACCCAACAAAATTCTGAACAACACTAATGGAAAAAACAGCCCAAATGGTTTAACCATATATTCATACATGAAAGAAAAGTTCAAACATGAAAACATACCATGGAAATCCACCATGAAAGGGCAAGTCTACATATTCATGATTTCCATACAAAATTATGCACCATGTGAATCCATGATAATACCTAACCTATAATATTTATGTATCACATAATATATTACCGAAGTCATGTGGCAAGCAAAAAGACCATTATAAAATAGATACCATATTCAAATATGACCTTCCAATAACAAAGAAACCCACTCTATCTTGTCATTCTCATCTAAACTGAAGAACAAGTCAACTTTGTCTTCATCTTTCACTATCATAGATGCTGCCATCAACCTTTAGGTAGTACTCATTGGCAACTTCAGAAGTTTTTCATTAACCAACCTCCTTTGTTGGGATAGGTCATGTGAATATCCTATCCTATGAGCAATCTCCACCATCGTAGTATTAGTGTTCTCAATGAATGATCCAAGATTTTTTGCCATCTCAGATAGTTCAGTGGGAATCCTCTCAGTATGTCGAGCCAATTTTTTTTCTAGTTTTAGTAGAGTCAGCACGGTTGGAAATATTACTTGAAGTAGACATTGAGTAGTCCATATCACCCATGTTCATACTAAACTGTTCAACAGGAGACTGTTCTCCTTCTTCTGTAGTTGCATTCGCATCTTCCTTTTCCATGGCTGCAACTGCATCAGCAGGATCCTTAGCTAGTTCACAAGTCGCCCTATCCTTCCCAAATAGAATAAGCCAATCTTCATAGAACGGGAATGGCCTATTTCGCATCCCTTTTGCATCCGGCACCCTCTACATAAGTGATTATCCAATTACTAAAAATAACAGATTGATTTATAAGTAAAGAATAATGCAAACAACAATAACAACAATGAGATATACCCTGACATAGTTCAACCATACGTCGTCACTATCAACTAGCACCATCTTTTGTTCATCATCCCAACCAAAACCACTTATCTTTAACATATCTTGAAGAGTGTTATATTGTTTCCTGCACAACTTAATCTTTGAGTCGATGTGAGGAGTGGCTCGAAGATCAGTTCCAAGAAATGCACTTAAGATCTTCTTTTCACATTCATTGTAGAAGCCTGCCCTAAACTGATTATTATCAAGCTTCCACTTGGGATTACTTGCGGTCACATCCTTCATGGTTGTAATGAGGAAGACTTCCTCACGGTTATTCCAAAACTTTCGAGGTTTCCCCTTTTTATGAGAGCTAGTGGTACCTGTGTCATCCATACTTATATATATATATATATGTATGTATATCATGAGTTTAAATCATAACACACATGTCAATCATAAATAACAAATCAACTTACATAATATTTCTCACAAATATCACACAAAAACTAAACAAATATGGTTTGAATTACATGTCATTATAAACTCTCACTATTAAATAAAAATTGTTATACAACACAAATTTATTGGCCTCTACTTGCTTGCCATTCATTAAGCATTTGGGTTGCCAAGGCTGTTTTCCATTCACTCCATTGATCAGATGCTTCAACAACGTCAATTATTTCATCTCCTAATTCAGTAGCCGGAGGAGGAGGAGGAGGATTCATTTCCTCATTCTCATCATCAGCGAGATCCATAGGCATTTCACGTTATATGAGATTGTGGAGAAGGCAACATGCAGTGATAATACGAAATTGAGTCTTAATTGGAAAGTAAGAATATATCCTCAATATTGCCCACCTCATTTTAAGTAGGCCAAAACACCTCTCAATGACATTACGAGCAGAAGAGTGCCTCATGTTAAAAAACTCTTGTGAAGTTGTTTGGGCACCCCCTTCTCTTCATGTCGAAAGATGGTAACGTTGTCCTCTATATGGTGCAAGAAAACCCTACCCATTTGTGTAACCTGCATCTATGAGATAGTAGTGACCTGTAATTATGTAAAATGGTTGCACTATGTATGTACAAAAATAATTGTTTTAATATAGATATAGTGTACTTATATATATAACTTATATAATTATCATAACAGTAGGCACTTTCAGCTCATTGAGTCTACTGACAGCATCTCTAACTACCCTAGAGTCAGAAGCAGATCCTTCCCATCCAGGCAAGACATATATGAATTGCATGTCTTGTGAGCACACACCCAATACATTTGTGGCAATTTCTCCCTTTCTCGTTCTATTCCTTGGTTTGTCTATTGCAGGGGCAAGAACCTTAACATAGGTTCCATCTAAAGCACCAAGATAATTCCAAAAATTAAACAATATTATAAAATTAATATAGGCAATACAAAAATATAATTCGCTAATTAAGCTAAGTTGTAAATATATTGTACCTGAAAACAACTCCACCTATCATCTGTACAATTAGCAGTTATTGGTTCAGGCTTCTTAAGGAGGAGACCATAGGGGCGCAACACAACCTTGAGAACATTATTGAAGTGCTTACTAACTGTTTGACTACTCCGCATGAAATTAAATTAAATTTTGCGGTTCTTAGTATGATGTGCAAGCACATTCAAAAACATTGCTACTTGCTCCTCTAAGACAACATATTTTGAATAAGACAATCCAACACTTCGCACCAACCCACATAAAAGCATGAAAGTACGCCTATTCATCTGAAGTTGGTCATGACAATTTATGTCACTATCTTTGACCAATCTATTCAAAGGGTCAATTTGATTTCCATAGGGGTGAGGTGATCGAGGTAGTGGCAACCTAATTTCTTTCTTCTTAAATGCAGCATGTAAAATCACTATATACATAGCACATGCATAATTAATGGATGAAACAACATGTTGGAGGGCTACAAATTCCTCCATAAGGTCCTTTCTCCTTTTCTTAGTGGCATAATTATTATCCATCTACAAAAAGTGAATAAACAATAAGTGGCTAAAGTTAGCACAAAAAGTAAAACAACTAATAGATAAATAAATTTAACATCTATTCATATCAATCATTTTGTGATTAAAATTAAATAACAAAAAGACACTTCACAATGGCAAATAGTGGGTATATTCAAATATACACAGAAAACCATGCACCAGCAGATATCCACATGAAGAAAATACTGAATAATTATTTCAAGTCAAGTAATTTGTAACAATGCTCTACCTATATAATAACATACAACTGAATAATTATTTCAAGTCAAGTTATTTAAGATTCTGTGATATGCCAGATAGGGCAGATTCTAAGATATACAATAACAGACAACTTTCAGATAAGATCCCAAATCATATCTTTCTCTGAGAACTTGGAATCTTGGATCAATTTCAAGTTTTAATGACTTCCTAACAAAAGACAACCACAAATCTTCTGGAAATAATTTAACAGTTATTATTTATGTTTGGAAAACATGTAACCGAAAATATCATCTCAAAGGAGATATCCAAAACAACCAACAGATGATTCCATTGGTCTTTGAAAGTTAATGCTCTACCTATATTCGTTGAACAAACATCCTAAACATTCAATCAAAAGAGTATAGCATAAAGTTGCTAGATAAAATGTGTCTCCTAGTCCACAAGAAGCAAATCGACTAATCAAGTCCTCTTCGGTGCAAGTGAAACCTGACTAACAGTTGCATTGCCATGTGATTGACAACCTTAATAGAAACACAAACCAATTTAGATGATATAGTTAAATGCATATAAAAAATAGTCGAAGTCTCCAATCTGTTAAAAAGTACATTCTCTGTGCTTGAGAGCCAGTCTCAATCCGAAAGAAATGTGTAGGGTTGTGGTAGGCTAGCATCCAATATAAAACTTATAATCACACCTTGGAAACATGGATCGTAAGGAGTTGATTTGAATCTTTCGTGCAATTGAGGGGAACCCAAAAAAGATCATAATCAAGGGCATCTTAGAACATTTAATTGGTGCCCTAGGGAGGTCCAACTGCCCAAAATCAACGAAATCTAAGAATAAATATGGACATTTCTAGTGCTACTTTTACAAGCATCATTGAGATGGCTAGAGGTTCTGTTAGAATTTACCATCACCTACCACCACTACCACCTCACCTACTCCACTAAACCTAACCCACTACACCACTACCACATCACCTACTCCACTAAACCTAACCCACTACACCACTACCACATCACCTACTCCACTAAACCTAACCCACTACACCACTACCACATCACCTACTCCACTAAACCTAACCCACTACACCACTACCACATCACCTACTCCACTAAACCTAACCCACTACACCACTATCACCATCCACTACACACCATCCACTACACCTACATCTATATAAGGAACCATTTGTAATAGACAGAAAATAACAACAACATTATATCAATCAATAATACAATTTCTCTATTTCTCTTTATACATTAAATTTCTACATGGTATCAGAGCAGGTTTAGAACCTAGTATTTTCGCTTCACCGGCGGGCGGCAACCTCACCTTAGCCGTCCGCCGGACTTCAACCTATTCCGCTTATTTTCTACACATACCTGCCATCACACAAACTGAAGAGCTTAGTCAACTTCCTCAATTTTGGGACCAGCACCACTACCACCAGCAGGAGGAGCATCATCATCATCCATAGCAGCACCACCGGCACCCTGGTACATCTTGGCAATGATGGGGTTGCAGATGCCTTCTAGCTCCTTCATCTTGTCCTCAAACTTTCTTCTTGTGGTCCTCATCCTCAGCCTTGTATTTTTCGGCCTCTTGTACCATCTTCTCGATCACTGTAACTATGCTGTCAACAGCTACTTTCAGAAGAAGAGTCAAGTTACTGGCAGCTGTGATTTCACAGGCACTGCCACCACCACTCAGACCCTCACTAGCTCAACTTCTGGATGTGTTTATCCCAGCTCTGCAGGGAGTAGCACCACCCCATCAACAAGCACAACTCCATCCACAACCACAACTACTCCCTCCTCTATATTTGGCCTGGGCCCCACAGGAAGTGGCACCAGCATTACCAACACTGACAGCAAGGCCAGTGTGACCCTCCACCAAAACAAACACTTGTTTTTCTGCTCTTTAGCTCTAACCCTTTTGTTCTCAGGCCCTATCTTTTTTAGGCTTTGAAAGATTATTGGGGTTATTGATGTGAGGGGGGTATGATGTGTGGATGATATTCTGCCGTGACAGCTCGAGCAAAGCATGTGATATTCTGTTCCCCACTCCTCTTTCTTTTCTTTTCTTTATTTTCCACTTTCAAACCCTTTATTTTTTTATTCTCTTTGCTTTTCTTCCTTTGTGACTGGATCAATGTATGTACCAGAGTTTACGATGAACGCAGTGGTACGATGTCGACTTTTACTTGGCCGGATTACCTTAAGTTGTAGAAGCTGTTCAATATGTTTCTTGAAACTCTCCTTCATTGCTGGGGTTATGTGCTTCATTGGCCTGTCATTGATTATAAAATCAGGATTCTTCAGGTCCAGCTTGCAGGTAATCTGATTGTGTGACCAGTATTTCATAGGATCTTCGCCTATGATTCCACAATTCTTGAGCTGCTCCATTAATTTCTCAAAATGTTGCTCAAAATGAGGACTGATGTTGGTGGAATGAAATAGCCATTCTGATGAAGGCTCATAATAATGATCCACTGTAAAATCTTCCTCTTCTTCAAGCCCTTCCAGAAGATTTACTGATTGACGGGTCTGGATTGTTATTACATTCTTGTAGAATGTAACATTATCTCCTTCAATCCGTACGCCTCCATACATTGCTCGAATGAAGTTGCACCCGATAATCATCTGGATTCTTCCTCCAAGATCAGGTTGCCATGCATCCTGATTCGATTGAATGGACTGCTTTTTGGGAAGCTGTATGTATAAGGGATTCTAAACCAATTATCCCCTATGTACATTTTTCCACCCTTCAATTTCTTATTTGCCTTTGATTTCGAATTTATACCATTGAACTCAACAGTATATGTATTTTCTTCCAAGGCTTCAGCTGGGATGGATTCAGAGTCCACGACGCAAGTTGTTGCTCCCGTATCAAGAATTGCGTGTAGTGGGATCTTCTGTACTCCTGGAATCTCTAGTTCCACAGTGAGATTGTAGAGCATGTTTTTCTTTTTCTCCTTTAATTCTCCTCCTGCTACAATTTCTTCAAGAGCAAGAACTTTTTTTGATGGAACTTCTTCAAATTGAACATGAGCTTCAGCTTCTTTCTCCAGGTCCAAGAGTTCTTCTTCTTTATACTTCCCTTTCCTTCTTAGTTCTCGTTCATCCTCCTGTAGCTGAATGATTAACTTTAGTTCTTCGAGCTCTGTCTTGTATTGAATGGCTTCTTCCCGGAGCCTCTTCATTATGGCAGAGATCCAGGAGCAACTCTCCAATGAAGAAGACGATGCAATTGACCAAGCCAGAACTGCCCTACAACAACTCCTCAAGATTCAGCAGCTCAAACTTGAAGCCATTGCCAGAGCTGCAACCTCTGATAACCAGTATGGAGATAAATTACCCGAGGTCCATCAGCAAACATGTGAATTGAAGGAGATAGACAACAAACTAGTGCACATGTTAAAGCATTACATTTGTTACAAAAAGCCTTCGAGTATGAGGATAAATCTCTCTTGCATGTGGTGCATTCTGGTCTTCGATCTTCTGGTAATGGGTTCTGTTGATCCCATTCATGTTGGCAGTGGTAGATTTCTGGTGAGACTTTAATCTGTGCCCTGTATCCTCCTTCCTTGCCAAGCCAATAGGATTTATCAGCTTCTCGAAGCATATAGATTGTTTCTGTCAAACCTCCTCCAATTTGTTCAGTATCATCAAATCCTTCTGATACCGAATAGATTGCATCTGAGTCATCATCTCCTGGTTCTACAGACATAACATCATAGTCTTCAGGAATGCTCAGATTTTCGAATACAGCTACCCTCTTGACATTCTTCTTCTCCTTCGTGCAATCCCTTGCATAATGTCCTTCTTCTCCACATAAATAGCATTTACAATGTTTTGACTTTTGCAAATACTTTCTTTTGTCAATTCTGACGTGAGAACTATGTGGTAGTGAAGGCCTCTGTTGTTGAAGGATTAATTATGCTTTATTTAAATGTTTAAACTATATCTTTGTTATTAGTATTCTGCCAAGGCAAAGGTAACCATATATTAACCAAGGCAAAGGCTATTGAAGTTTTCAAAATTATAAAAAGGTATAGCATGATTTCTATATTAAAGTTTCTAAAGGCAGTATGATCCTTGAAGTTAAGATTTAAGTAAAAGACACAGGCCCTATATCTGGCAGAGAGGAGTAAGCCCAGTGAAACCCTGTGGTGAACAAGAATTTAACTGGTAAGGACTACTTGGACCTTGAGCCTTAAATATAGTCTATAGCGCTGCTCGGGATTTGTCAAAAGAATGGGCTCATCCTAAGCCCAACGAAAATGAAAATTGCTGCAGTACAGATGGATTTTCTTGGATCAACAATTGGGCAGGGAAAGATAAAGCTACAACCACATGTGGTAACCAAGGTAGCCCAATTCCCAGATGATACTCTTAAGGAAACTAAGGGTTTACGCTCTTGGTTGGGCCTTCTCAACTATGCCAGACATTACATTAAGAATTTGGGCCGCATGTTAAGCCCATTATATTCGAAGGTCAGCCCAAATGGTGAGAAGAGGCTCAATGCCCAAGATTGGGATTTAATCCATAAGATCAAGGCCAGGATCCAGAAACTACCAGATCTGTCAATTCCTCCATCACATGGTGATCGGGGTTGATCCCGGAGATGAATAAAATATGGGTGTTGTGCAAATTTGTAAAGTTTTTATTTTTTTATTTTTTATTTGTTATTTTTTTTTTGTGTGTGCAAAGCTATATGGTATGAATGGAATTTGAAAAAGATTAAAAATAATGTAAAAGAAAAATAAAGAAAGAAATAATAAAAATATATTTGAAATCAAAATGAAAGATGGGGGAAATAAGGAAAGTGGTTGGGAGAAAATAAATAAAAAGAATAGATTTTGAAATCAAACGGAGGAGAGAGAGGGGACAAGCCCATGGGAAAGAGGGGTTTAAAGAAAGTGAGGGAGTGGGTTGATTAAAAAAAAGGATTGTGGGTTTGAAAGTGGAAAGATGAGAGAGAGAGGGAGTGGGGTACATGATGGGTATGTGATAAAATAAAATATAAAATCAGTGGGTGGAGCATATGCATTAGCATAATTAAATCCATGCACCTGAAGGTTTAAAGACGGAATCAAACCACCAAAAACAGCAGACAAGGTGAAATTCCCAACCCTTGCAGCCCCCCTAGGCATAAAACCTCCCAAAATTCCATCCTGTTCTTGACGGAAATAGTTTGCATCTGGAGCAGGAGGAGGAGCTGTTTCGGGCCTCTGGCCTGCAGGGCGATGAGGAATGTCCTCGCCAGGAATTGATTTGAATCTCGGGTCTGAACTTGTTTTGCCCCTTCCATATATTGGAACCAACTTCTCTTCCTCTATAAGGGCCTTACAAACCGGGCACTCGTGAGAATATGAGTGTATATGCAGCCACCTATAAAGACAGGGCCAACAGTACAGGTGGCCACAGAGAGTCACTATTGGGTCTTCAGCTAATTCAAAGCAAATATTACATTCAAAATCACCCATTTCATTGCTAGTATTGCCTGAACACGAAGGGCCAGTTGATTGGCCAAAACCACTATTCATACCCAAACCCTAAAACCTGAAGCACCTGGGCTGTAAGATTGGGCAGATCTGTGGTGGTGATGAAGACGACCGAGACGGTGGTGTATGGGAGGACAACAGTGAGAGGAGGTGCAGTGGTGGTGGACTCGAATAAATTTCAAGGTATGTGTAGAAAATTCTAGCGGATTAGGTTGAGGTCCGGCGGGCGGCTAAGGTGAGGTTGCCGCCCGCCGGGGAAGCGAAAATACTAGCTTCTAAACCTGCTCTGATACCATGTTGAAATTCAATGTATAAAGAGAATTGTATTATTGATTGATATGTTGTTTATTACAAATGGTGAGGGGCTCCTTATATAGGAGATGTAGATGTAGTGGGTGGAGTAGGTGTAATGGAGTAGGTGAAGTGGGTGTAGTAGGTGGTAGGTTAAGTGGGTGGAGTAGGTGTAATGGAGTAGGTGAAGTGGGTGTAGTAGGTGGTAGGTTAAGTGGGTGGAGTAGGTGTAATGGAGTAGGTGAAGTGGGTGTAGTAGGTGGTAGGTTAAGTGGGTGGAGTAGGTGTAATGGAGTAGGTGAAGTGGGTGGAGTAGGTGTAATGGAGTAGGTGAAGTGGGTGTAGTAGGTGTAATGGAGTAGGTGAAGTGGGTGAAGTAGGTGGTAGATTTTAACAGCCCCCCGCAAACTCAAGGGGGATAGGAACTAACCAACTTGAGTTTGGAGAGAGTAACAAAACAAGAAAAGGGTTCCATTTGGTTAAGGTCAATCTACTGTTAAGCAAATTTTTGTTGCAGTTCTGATGGACCAAACCATATTAAAACTTAAAAGTGAATTGAGAAAGATCTTTAAAAGGAAAATTGCAGATTGTCATGCTAGTCAAGGTTTAACAGTTGAATTTCTTTGGCAACAGATCTTAACTTGGTAAAAAACTTTGATTTGTTATCTTGTGTGTTATGGTTTGAATGACGGTGCTCTATCGCACAGGTTTTACGACCAATAGAATATTTGGCTCATGTAAATATAGTTTTTGTCTAACGCGTATTCTTCTTAATGCATCAGGTGGTATTTGGAGAAGATGAAATAGCATACCAGATTGGTGAAACCACTGAAATACTGTCAAGAGGTCATCTTTGTGCGACACCACATTACTTTTGGTCTTTCATTAGTCACCTGTCTCTTGCTTTTAACTTTCCCTCTTGCAATGTCATAATTAAAGCTTCCTCTTAATTCATTTGGCTCTCAGTTTATATGTCAGTTTTCTCACCCCCTTTCCCTTTACTCTTTGAGGGAGATATTCCTGGTTGTTGGTTGTCAAAATTGAAAAAAACCCCAAATTCGAAATTCATTGATTTGTAATTTGAATTCAATGCAACCGATCTCTCAACCAATTGAACAATTAACACAATCACAATATGACCTAATCTAATTCAATGCAAATCAAATTAGATCTAAACAATTAAGGACAAGAGAGATTTAACATGGAAAAAAATCACAATTGGACTCCAATTGTGATATATAAAAAAAAAAACCATGGGCCAATGGCCACCAAACCAATCCACTATGAAGAATAGGAAATTACACAAGAAATTCTCACACAATCAGCAATCCGCTGTGAGGAATAGGACATTACACAAGGAATTCTCACACAATCACCTAGCGAATCCATGCACAAATTGCCTCAACCCCTTGTACCTCTTCCAACATTGCCTTCACCACGAAATTGGTTCTCCAACACTGAATCCACGATGATGAGCCACTTCGGAATCTACCAAAGCTTCCAAGCTCAAATCCCTGGAATCCACTGAAGAACTCTCTTGGAAAGTGTAATTGATGTAGAAACCCTTGGTGATTTTCAATCCCTATAGCTTTGATCACTATATTAGTCTCAATATATCAAGGTATATGTGCTCTGTCTCTCTCTCTCTCTCTCTCCCTCTCTCTCTCTCTCTCTCTCTCTCTCTCTGTGTTGTTTGCACTTTAGGAAGAAGAATTGGAGTCTCAATCCAGATCTGATCCAAAATGCGCAGTTATAACTGAATGACCGCCTTAGACCGCTTGAGCAAACTATATGACTCTACATGACTTCTGACTGAAGACCTGAGATGCTATGAGACTGAATGGACAGCTCGAGCACAAATTTTACTGCTCGAGCAGTCCATGTTACCCTGTAGGTTCTTCTACAGCAGGTCTTTGATACTGCAAGATGGAAATTGCTGACTGATGATTGCTTGAGTCAGACTGGGACGGATTCACATATAATAACACTCTCAACTCACAAAAGTAAAAGAACAAATGCTAATACATCACAACAGTTTTGTCAAACGGAATTGCCAACACAAAATACAACAAAAATTCCTAACAAAAATTTTTAGCATTGAGGATACCATTATTTTTAATGTTTGATGGTGTTTTTTTGCCTGCATCAAAGATAATGGAGCTCATATCGATTGTGTTAAAAGAAATCATCCTTGTATTTTTTATGGGTTGAAAGCTTGGTTGCTGGTGCCTTTGTGTACTGGGGGGTCTCTGCTCTAGACTTTAACTCTGCAAGTAGAGTACAACAATTAGAGAAAATCATTTGAGTTTTAAGAAATATAAGGTCTTAATGTAAACAAGGAATTCAAATAGGAAACTTTCACTACTTTAATACTTGTTCAAATTAGAAATAAGAGATAGTATCACATTCCTTTGCCATTGATGATCAACGTTGCTCTTCCTAGTGTTTTTCTCTCACATATCTATGTTATTTTACTAAAATGTGTTTCTTTTACTATATTTGTTTCAGTTCCCTTGAATTGTGGTGAGTACATGTATTTTTCAAAACTGTTTTTTATCTGGCATATTTTCTTACCAGCATGTCTTTTCTCACACCATAAACCACTTACTTTTTATCAGGATCTTTTGATTTATGTCATGTAGATAAGATTAGGCTAAAAAATAGCTTTTCAGATTAAAGTGGTTTGGGTGTTTGGTTGTTTTGATGTGAAATGATATTTCTTGCCGGAAATTCTAGAGAAAGAGGTATTATCAGGAATTTTGAGGTTGTCATGGAAGGTAATTAGAGATTAGGGTTAGCATCAAAGGGTTAAGGTTTTGGAATTAATTTAGCATGAACTAAGGGCTAAAATCCTCTAGGAATCATTCAAAAAAAGAAGAGGAGGATGAAAGAGAGAGAACCTTAGATCACATTAGGGCCCCTCTAAGAGTCTCACTTAGAAGAAATCAATTGGGTTGAGTCTCACCTGAAAAAAGAGCAAAATCTGCGGAGTATTTTCTTTCTTTCTCTCTCTTGTATTTATTTATTTATTTTTTGGATAAGTAAAACTTCATTAGCAAAAAGGAGTGCCTTGAAGGGGGTAAACCATGTACAATGAAAGGGACAAAATGCTGTATGCCATACATCCAGGGTCACCTATAAGCTGCACAAAAGTTTCAATAGGAGGTGAGCCGGAGACGCGGCGAGGCACGTGAGCGACAGAGTGGCGTGTCGGCCTCGGCTATTTAACCAAGGTTGAGGCAGAGGCTGTGCAAACCAGTCTAAAACCGCCGAAAATCTTTTGAAAAAACTCTTCCGTTTCTGAGAAAGAGATTCTGGAACACTCTGTTGCCATTCTGTAACAATCTGTAAATACTCTGTATCCAACCTTTCTCGGAAACACTCAGCAACCCAAAAAACATGGCCTCGTCTTCCCGTTCAGCTACCCAGAACATGGCCTCATCTTCCCGTGGTCTGCTCACTCTCTTTCCCGACCTCAACGAGTCAACAAGAGAGATAACTGGTGCGGTGGCACTGGAACCTCAACCAAGCGCCCCGATTCTGATGCTGAATCATCTTATCCTCCTCCACAACGGTCAAGAAAGCAGCAGCAAAAGGACAAGAAGAAGGAAAAACTTTGATAATGTTACATTCTACAAGAATGTAATAACAATCCAGACCCGTCAATCAGTAAATCTTCTGGAAGGGCTTGAAGAAGAGGAAGATTTTACAGTGGATCATTATTATGAGCCTTCATCGCACTTTCAAGGTCATTCCACCAACATGGCGGAAAATAAGGAGCTGAAGCGGAAGGCCACTGTGATATTCCGATTTGGAGGGCCGTCATATGCTGCAGTGGAGGAGCAGGGAGTAGTGATCGTGCCCAGTGGAGTGGGAAACACGGAGGCAACACCATCTAGGGCCGCTCAGGACGGAGGCAAGAAGAAGAGAACGGCTGCAGAGTAGAGAAGAAAAATTCCGCCTGTGCATGTGGTGGTTTGTTTGTATTGTTGTTGTTGTTGTTGTTGTTGTTGTTGTTTTTTTTTTTTTTTTTTTTTTTTTTTTTTTTAAAATTGTGATCGGGGTTGATCCCTGAGCCTGATATGAATAAAGCAAGTGTGTTTGGCAAACTCGAATGGTAGGTGTGGTAATGCAGAAAAATCAACTGGAATGAATGTAGTTTTGTTTTGTTTTGTTTTGTTTTTTTTTTTGTAGTTGAATAATAATAAGAATAATAATATAGTAATGGAAAGCATGCGCTGGTAGTGTGTGGTGGTGTAAAATGGATGAAAAGAAAAAAATTAAGAAATAAAAGAAGAAAAGTAAAAATGGGTTTGTGCAAAACAATTGGTGTGTCGGTTGCTTTGGGTGAAGGAGAAATGATGGGATGAAAATGTTTTGGGTCAAAAGTGGACACTGTCAGTGGAAAACATAAGTGTATGGACTATTTGATATAAGAATACTAATAAAAAATACAAAAAAAGTGAGACCACTTGGGTGGGGGGCGCTTTTTTTTTTTTTTTTTTTTTTTTTTTTTTTTTAAGTGTTTTTATTTAAATTAGTTCATAAGATAATCTTATATTTCAATAAATTTTATTATTTAAACATTTGATCTACCAAATCATAATTATCATATTTAAGGTATTTTATGAATATTTTTATCCTTACAAATATTTTTTGAACAGCTAGCAATTTGGTGATGTAAATATTATATTTTACAATGTGAATATTCACATTGCCGTGTAAATGTTCACATTGATAGTATAAGCATTTATATTGACAATATGACTATTCACATTGACATGTTAATATTCACATTGATAGTGTGAATATTTACATTGACGATGTGAACATTATTCACGTCACGAAACATTCGCACTGTAAATGTCACAATCAGATTACCTGCAAGCTGGACTTGAAAAATCCTGACTTCACAATCAATGATCGACCAATGAAGCACATAACTCCAGCAATGAAGGAGAGTTTCAAGAAACATATTGAACAGCTTCTCCAACTTAAGGTAATCCGG